CTATTTAATTATGTTGATGACTAAAACTGTTTGCTGAGGCTCACAATCTGTTTTTATTTGAACCAGCTTCTATTGATCCTAATATCGACATGAACTGAAAAAAGCCATAAGAGGGCGTCGATCATTTCTTGATTGTATCTGTTATAGAATGCACGTGTTTCATTTGAATGTTCCCTGGATTATTGATGAATCCGAATACAACTGTAGCGGACGTACCCTATCTGAATGGAAGAGCAGAGGTTCTGTGAACGAAGTACAAGGGATCTATTATGCAGTGACAGGAATCTTCTTTGTGGTACGTTCAATTGTGTTGAAAGACAAAAGAGAACAATGACGTCGTTCAATCATTTTTTGGAGTGCGCCACGCATTCCACATCCACTCATGACCGCAGTGGCGATTCGAATACGATCTCACCTTTGCAGTGACTAGTAGGAGCTAGCAGATTTACAAATTTGTTTTTCCATCTTAGACAAGCCTGCTACCATCCGTCCTACCCCGTAAAAAAAGTAGGTTGGCCTGAACGGTGTGCTATGCAGCATTTGATCACCGGATCGGGCATGGTGAAAAGCGGCACCTGCGCTACACCACTACACCTGGTCCAGTTGTGTCGGCTTGAAAAGGTGTAGGCGTACTAGGGCTACATAACATTATTCGGGTACATCTACTGTGTGGTATGTAGACGTCACGAAATCCCTATACGCAGTAGATAGGACATACAATATTATACACTTACGGCACAGCCAGAGAGGTACAGTAGAATGACATCTTAGAACTGTAGTGGGCGACGTGAACTTTGTTTAACTTAAGTACAATTTGATGCAATGTTCTGTTTGGAAGAAGCTCAGGTGTTTTCATAAATATTTCAAAAAAAATCTACAGAGATGAGCTACTTTACCCGTCTTTTATCCACAGAAAATTCTTCTTTGCTACATAGAAAGTCTTGCTTAACCTACATAGTGGGAGTGGGGAGGTTCAGAGAAAAGGACAAAAAGATTGGCAGAAGCATAAGGAAACGAAAGGCAGAAGGTAGTAAACAGTGCTCAAGGCACAGCTGGTGCATCAAGCTCGATGGAACAAGAATTGAAGTAGCAGCACGTAAAAGATAAGAATGGCAGGACTGCACTAGCTATGCTGCAGGAGTCTACTAGTTATATTGCTTGGCTTATTCCTTTTACCCAACTGAAACACTTTATTTTCAGGCGCTTTACATAGTTTGCCTAATCGGAATGTATCGTGGAAAGCTGCTGAAGACTCCTTGTTATCGCCTTATGTTCTTCAATGGCTTCATTGATATCATGGATCTCTTTGCAAGTTCACTCATCCCCGCCTATTTCCATTTGGTGAGTGACCCAATTATTGACACTCAAATGTTACCTCGGAAGAAAACTAGGAATAAGATCGGCCATAACACTGAGGGAAGTCAAGGTCAGACACGACCTCTCTGGAAGCCCTCCCTCCCACCCCAAATAGCTGTGTTTTCCTTTTCAGTTGGTTTTCATGATTTTCCCCATCGCGTCTCTGTGCTCGTTCATACTCCTAATTACAATATATCCCCATGTGCAAAAAGTCTAGTGCTTTTATCTGTTACTCTTGGGAAGGAGAATGCATTTTTGGGTTTCTGCATGAAAGAAAAGGAGCTTCTGTGCCGTGGAAAAGTTTATGATAATTATCTGCTGGTTTGGTTCTTCAAATAAGTAAATATAAACATAACACTATCAAAGGCATCTCGCTTAAAAATATCACCTGTTTTTCTAAAATTTCAAGCAACCCACCTCCCTCTTTAAATTTGCCTAACGAAAAGTTGACTCTGGTCTGCTGGTAACATTTCCAACCGGTCGAATATTCAACGATAAAAGCTTTTATTGGCCTGTTTAAGAACTGTCTCGATTTCAAAGCTTAGGCAGGGCAGGATTAGGTCAAAAAGAGAAAGTCAGTCCGCAAAAGTGTCAGTCAACTTGGTAACAGATCCCCTGAATCGGGTAGCGACATGGCATAACAGCTGTTTCCAGCGCTTGACAACGGCGTTCCCGTGTAATAATTGCGGAATATGGAATTGGTAGGTTTCAAAGCCCGTTTTGAAGTCGTGCTGCCATGGCTCGAAGCTGTCAGAATACTTGAAATCGTGAAAATTTTATTTACCAACTTTCAGAATCAGAAAGAGCCAAAAACGGGAACTATCGCTAGATACAGGGGCATTCTGATGGCAATGCATTTAGAACTTAAATCATTATCCTTAGAATCGGGACCAAGTCCTCAGGCGAAATGAAGATTCCAGGATGCGTGAACAGTCTTTATTTTCCCCGAGAATCCTGCTCCTCCTGCGCTTAGTCTTAGAGAATGCCCCCGTATCTTGCGATAGCGCCAAAAGATGTGCTATCTGGATGAAAGTACGGAATCACAAATGTTACTAGAATGCTCTTATAGATAATTCATTCAGACTGGAGGTGTTTTCTGTTCATCGGTTGCTTTCAGCTATTTCACTGGATATTTTTCATGGTGTGAGTTTTTGTCACTCTACAACTGTTACATTAGACAATCACAACACACTGGATGCTTGACCTACACTACAGATTTATGCATAAAGATTCAGTTTTTAAAATTCGACCAATTTTAGGTGTATGGTCTGGTGCTTCGTTCAACTGCACTGTGCTTGCCCTAAATCGAGTAGTCGAAATGATTCCTTCGGCGAAATTTCTTCGCTTCCTTTTCGAAGGTATACCTTTTCACATTGGCTTGTTATGTGCTGCTGACCTACTTATGTCACTGATCCTATTTCTACTGAAAAGACTTCATTTTTGCCCTATGCACTATTTACCAAAGGTCTTAAAGGCAAAATTCAGGATAATTGGCGAAAATTAGCTTTTCCCCAAATATGCAGCAGTACGCAAGCGCGGACCATGTGCAGAAGTGGCGGGGCGATTTGACAAGGTTTAGGCGCTAGGCGCCTAGGTTGGAGCATTGGCGCCGCCCCAACCCCATTGAGCCCGCCCACTGTTCCACGCGACCTTCCAAACAACACTTGGAACACTAGATGTCAAGCCGTTGTTTGGAAGGTCGTAGGAGGATATTTTGCGGATTTCGACTGCCAAGTTCAACATCAAAGTCTATGTTACGGCCATTATCGGGAACTTTGCCATTCATTCTAAGAAGAATCAAGTTTTTAAAATATGGAAAAAAAAAAGCAGAAATAAGCAGAATAAATAAGAAAAATAGGAGAAATAGAAGAAATCAATTCTACTGCTGATTTTTATGGCCGTGTCGGTTGTTGGCATGGAGCCAGCAGCTGCTGTGAACACGTTCAGACACGTAATCCTCCCAGCCCTGGCTTGTATCTAGTATCTAACGAAGAGGAGGTCATTATTTTGGACCTTTTCGGGGGTAGTTCCTGCTTTTTTTTGAGGTTTGATTCAGTTAGCACCAGGGCGTCATATTTGTACAGAAAACTCCCTCATTTTATCCCGGAGTTTGCCTTTAAGAAGTCTATTTCAATTCCAGGGCAAGCAATTAGGATTTGGATGGCGCTGTCTGTTTTGTACATGGTTGTTCTTCCATTCATCACGCGAACACATCCATTCAATTCAGTGATCAGTACGTACATGCCCTGCTCAGCACGTACATACCCTCTCCAATGATAACCGACGATCCCGCCGAGGTGAGCTGTAGTGGAAATGGTTGCACTAAAAGAAGGTGCGAGTAATCTAGCCGTCATCAAACGAGCTGAAACTCCCATGCTCTGAACAGTCAAGCCTTCCGTACTTGGAGGTTTGCGCGAAAGGTGTAGCGAATATGTCAGCGCGCAAGAATCGTGTGTTTGAGCTGCGTGTAGCTTAAAAAAAATCAAAACCAACAGCCCTTGGAAACAATTTTGTGGAGCTAATGCTTGTCATTCTGATTCAGGGCAGAAATTTTCTTCCGGAGTGTGGCTATAGTTTAGGATAGATCTATGAATAGAAGGTGATGAGCAATAAACCTTCCCTTGTATCATATTGAGAACGATTGTAGTCATACATTGCCTAACATTCAAAATAAAAGTCTTCGAGTGGAAAGTGAAGAGCGCTTCCACGTGTAACTTAAACCAACGTCAAAACAACCTTTTTCCAACGAAAATGAAGAATTTTTCCTGGGAACGTAGGTGCATCGGTTCGAGGCTCAATGAGTGCTCGAAAAATCGTGAACCATTACGACAGTATCTGGAAGAGTAATCAAAAAGTAGGTCTTCCCGATAGTAATGTCGTCCAAAGAGCTACGCATCAATTAATCTGTGAAGAAATCATGTAGGCGCTTCAGGCAGTAGAGGACTATCAACAAACACTCCCCGATGCGATGGAACGATGGCGTCAAACTTCCGTAGATGGTGAGGAGCCGGGAAGTGGGGGCCCTCATTCTGCCTCATGAGGGAACTTTGAAGATTCTCGGGGAACTTGCCATCAATGCACACCTTGTCGCCGACGGAAAGCTTTTGCTGATGCTGGGCATGAGCAGAATGGCTTTTTGACCCCTTATCCTGTAATGGGTTGTGAGAGGGAGATCGGATTTTCTTCTCAAAAGCAAAACTGCGGCTGACCATAAGGTTCTTGGGTGTTTCGTGGTATTCAGGAGGATAAATTTGATTGTAAAGAAGCTGTCGGAGTGACTCTTCTGCTGACCCATCTGCGTCTCTGCCTTCTTGCCACGCGGTAGGCCTCCTGTCGGTTACCCCAGGGAATCCTCAGCAGGGTCGTATCTGCCCTAAGCAGTGGAGTATAGGTGGGAGAAAAATGAGGCACCGGTATAAGAGTAGAATTTGTTGTCTCTGCACTCACAAGCCAACCACGCTCTACACTCACCTCAATTTCGTGTTGGTAGTGGAAGTTTGATGGGCAGGTGGAGAGCTAGGTTCAACCAGATTCTTTGTTATGGGGGAGAGGGAATAGGGCACCCCGCGGTTGTTCTCTGCATGATATTCACCTTGTTGACAAATACAATGTTCTTGCTGCTCATGAAATTTCAAGTCGTTGATGTCGAGACACGCTTCTTCATTGTCAGAAGCAGCTCACTTTTGCCACACCTCTTGGTGACAGCGTGATAATGATCCTATAGTCGTGGTGATGATATGCCTTTATTCGCTTCTCTGTATTTACGTTGTCAGCATGCGACGCTATGCAAAAGGAATTCACTACAAAATCCAAATTCAGGTATGAATACCGTGAAAAACTTGACACAGCAAATTCAGTGCGCTGTTCACATGAGCACTTCAGATGGCATTTTTAAGGTAGCCAATCACGGTAGGTGAAAGGGTTTTGAAGCGGGGTGAGGTGACTCCAATGCGACAGTGTCGAAAAAAGCGGGAATTCCACCATGCCCCAAGCAAAAAGTATAGTATGAGTAGCGACGTATTGAAGTCTACCGCAACCGTTGATAGACCATGCTAATCATGCTCAATCGAGAAGTTGCTCAGTGGGTGTCGCCGACTGACAACTCACACACAACTCGTCCGAATCACCCACTGAAGCAGTGGGTTGGAGCGCTTGGGGACGTTGTGATCAGGGTCAACCCTGCGTTGCGCAAAGAACAACGAGGGGGTCGTATTCAGCCGACCGAAAAGGGAGGGGGTCGTATCAACAGAACGGGCTGCAAGACGGCTTGAAAAGTGCATCGTATAACTTCGTATAATATATTGTATACTAAGTTATTATATTCAGCTTATTATCCTTAAGCGACGCTATCCGGACGGCGCTTTTGCTCCGCGGCATAGATCAAGAGTACAATAGACAATAGCCAAAAACTTTGTTACAGTGTAGTGCAAAAACATGGTCTGTCTTCGATGATGAAACATTCCTGAAATCCCGAGGAGAACAAAGTGTAGAGCAGTTCATGGGAAAGTGAAACAAGAGTGCCATATAACAGCACAATGCAACTCAATCAGGATACTAACACCTTCTTCAGGAAAACAGAAGACTTCAAAATGCGAGTGCGAACTCTGCCCACAGATAGGTGCACGGCGTATACCCGAGGCGTTTTCCCATAAAAACGCCTCCTCTGTCAGCGGCCGTAAGCAGACAAACTTTCTGAAGAGAGTTTCGATGCTTTCAAATAAAATCTAAGCGAAACAAAGTGTAGCGAATTTGCTGAATTGAGTTCTAGAGACGCCGTAGGAAAATTGAGGCAGAAGAAAAAATTTCAGGAAATTTCACAGTTGTTATGAAGTACTCTTCGAGTGGATTCCAACAATCTTTACCGCTTCTCATCACATTAATTTTAAAGGAAGTTATGGGCCTTTGAAGACTGCATAGTCGCGGTCCAGGAAAATGGCTTGAAAAAAATCAAGGTGGAATAAACGGAACAACGGGACTATTTTTTGAGCGAGTGATTATTTCAAGAAGTTTTAGCACTTATTCGAAAGCTCTAATCCTCTAGTTTCTAATTAGCCTTAGACATCTGCAAAATGTTGAGTATGAAGAAAGTTATTAACGTTTGAATGTCGAAAACTCGTGCGCTTCTGAAAGAAAATATAACCTTCTGAATGGAGGGGTTTGGATTGCAATGTAATTGCTACAAGGTTTAGTTTTTCAGATTATAAGGTAAGGAAAGTTGAGAGATCGAAAAAATCCTGGTGGGTTTCTGAAAGTAGAAATCTTTACGAAAAATGATGTATTGGTTTACGCAAAAATTTGGAAATTCCTTCTATTTAATGAATAAAACTTCATTTGCCTCGATTCCCTCCTCTGAGCGAGACAAAGCGCGCGGATTGACCACGGTCCACCACTTCTCCATGTTGGTGACTGCCATCATTGATGAGCATTGATGAGCATTAAATTATGTGAAAGACATGATAGTTAATATGGGGGGTCGTACCGATACCCCCGAAAAGGAAGGGGGTCGTAAAAATTTTGGAATTTGCGCAACGCAGGGTTGACCCTGGTTGTGTGTCTAAGCCACTTTGCTCCACATCAGCGCTCATTTCGTCGTGAAAGCGCTGCCCATTACTCCCTTGGTAGCCGAGCTCGTCTTCGGCTTTTGCATTTAATTCCGATGCTCCCTCTTACTCGTGATCGCTTCCTTCACGAAAACTCGCAGTTCTACCTGTTACGCAGATGTACACATTATGATTTCTGTGTAAATATGATACGTCGTGAAAGACAGGAAGGAGTCGGGGTTCCGCTGATATCAATTAAATGATCTAGCACGAGGAGCCGAATCGTATTTTAAATTCGGGACAGCCATTGTTTCCTGCCTTTACAGAGTTCTAATTCAATAATTTTTGCTTTGAGGAACCATAGAAATTTTGAAAGGTCAGGAACAGCAACGGAGTTTCGTAGAGAAACTACAAAATCTTCTGTACAAAATCGGCTGATTAGAGTGGTAGAGGGCTTTGCCGCCTATAGTGAGACTGTAGTCGACGATTCAGTCAGTACGCTAGGGGCTTGATAGTTCCCACTTAACAGTCTCCGTAAAGCACACAATATTTTCCGAATTACAAAAACTTACATTTGAGATCAGGGACGGTAGTAAAGTGCCACAGACTGGGAGTCAAAGGTGGTGAAATGCGGCCGTAAACGGCGAGGAGAAACAGGGAGGTGACCCTAGGATAGACGGCGAACTTCAGCACGATGTTGGCAAAACTCTGCATCGCCCGGAATTGAACTCTCTGCTATTCACTTGACAGCGGGCACTGATACC